TTGTAGCCCAGGCTGGTCTTGAACTCACAACGATCCTCCTGCCTCAGCCTCCCTAGTGCTGGGATTACAGGTGTGCGCCACCACACCCAGCTCTAATTTTTTTTTTTTTTTGGTTTTTCTCTGGTACCAGGAACCGAACTCACAACCTTGCACTTGCCAGGCATGCGCTTTGCCGCTGAGCTAAATCCCCAGCCCTCAGTGGAAAATAATCAGTGTAACTACAACCAAAATCCTCAACTGTAGCCTCTCCTCATAAAAATCGGTAGGTCCTTTAGGTATGGCATAGAAGGGATTGTTCATATCAGGAACCTGGTTGAGGAAGGAACTAGAAGTGAGCATAGAGAGGTGTCATTCACACCATGAATGGTGTTGCCAGTGATTTTTCTGAAGCGTGAAACCCCTAAAAGAACCACTTCTGGAGACCTTGTAGGAAAATGGGAAGCACAAAGGAAGCAGCTCCAAATTCCATCACGGTTCTGGAAGAAACAGAAAGTACACTTCTGAGGTAGGAGTTATCTTCTACTAGAGAGCAAGAGAAGACGAGCAGCTGACTGGGTGCTTAAGTAAGAGGCGAGCTGCATCGCCGCTGCTTGGTAGGGGTGCAGAGTTTGTTTCCAGGTGGTGTCTACCACACACAGTGATGGGAGCAGTGTATCCTCCTGATCTGGGAGGTGAGTGGGGCAGAGTGCTTATATGCTCCATGGAGTGTTAGTGTCGCCGTTTTGGAGCTAAGCCACTAAAAATACATTGACATCCAACAGAACACCTTTTTTCTTCTCTGTCTTTTTCTTTTTACAGGGTCTTGCTAAGATGTCCAGGCTGACCTTGAAATTGCTGCCTTCCTGCCTAAGCCTCCTGAGTAGCTTAGGTTACAGGTGTGGACTAACATGCTTGGTCTAACACTTTTATTTATTTATTTTGGTTTGGGTTTTTTGAGACAGGGTCTTGCTGTGTAGCCCAGGCTGGCCTTGAACTTGTGATCCTCCTGCCTCAGCCTCCAGAGTACTGGGGTGACAGGTGTATGCCACCATGCCAGGCACCAACACTTTTTTTTTAAACCAGAATATCATCTTTTTCTTGGTGAATTTTGGTTGTCATTCTGAACATCAGAGACTTACCTGTTGTCTAAAACTGTGGCATTTCAGGCTCTATTGTAGCACACACAGCAACATAATCCCTATTATATAACCTGGCTTCTAGGCTTTGGAATTCTTAGGTCTGCTCTTGTAAGGCTAGTACTTGTCACAGCTTCGTGTGGTCAGAATGTGATCTCTAGAAGTATTACACTGTTACTTTTGCTGCATTTAATGTACTTGCCTGGGAAACCAGATTAAATAGGTAAGAAGTGGGGTTAGCAGTGAGAGTGTGTCTGTATGTCTGTTTCCTGTCACTGCACCACCACCAGTGGGGGAGTTGGTGGTATTTTCTGGTCTTTGATGCGTGAACCCTCTTAAATAGAATTGGTTTTAGCCTTTTGCATGTGGTTAATGTATGAGGCCAAGTTTCGTTTTTTAAAACTTGCCTTTAAAATCAGATATAATAGACTTCTACTGTATACCAAGCACCATAAGAGGTATTTTAACTATTGGTGTTTGATTTTATGTAGAAATAGTAAGTAGTTAAGATTTTGCTGTTAATCTAAGAAAAATGACATTTTCTTCAGAAAGGTGACAGTTTTCTGGATGTAAGAAGTACTTCAATTCTGATTCAATAGCAGTGTATCATTGTGAAAATAAACATGTTTTTCAGCTTACAATGCACATCTAAAATGCAGGCTGCCTGCAGCTGTCCTTGGCCTGCCTCACCCACTGTGCCTGGATCATGAGGGTGCTGGAGGAGAGTCTCTTCTGGATGCTGCTTCCAACCCTTCACCTGCTGGCAAGTGCCGCAGAACACGAGGAGGTGGCCAAGCACGCGATCAAGCTGCACCGTGGGAGGGGAGCCACTGCCGCCCAGAGGAAGCAGTGGGTCCTGGACAGCTGCAGGAAGCTCACTGGGCTCCTGCGGCAGAAGAATGTTGTTCTGAACAAATTGAAAAATGCAATCCGAGCAGTGGAAAGAGATGCTGGCCTGTCAGATGAAGAGAAACTGTTCCAGGTGCACACGTTTGAAATCTTCCAGAAAGAGCTGAATGAAAGCGAAAACTCAGTGTTCCAGGCCATCTATGGGCTGCAGAGAGCCCTGCAGGGGGATTACAAGGATGTCGTCAACATGAAGGAGAGCAGCAAGCAGCGGCTGGAGGCCCTACGTGAAGCTGCCATCAAGGTCAGCCACCATGCTGGGGATGGCTGCTGGGTCACAGTGGGTCTGCCGTGTCAGGGCATCTGTCCTGCGGGAGGGGAGGACGCCCTGCCTTACTGCGTGGCAACTGTCCCCTCATCCTGTGGCTGGCCTTAGGGACAAGAGGCTGTGTGCTGTCTTACACTTTTCTCACCAGGACTCAGGACTTCTGAGTAGTCAAGATGATGTGATTCCTTAGATTTAATTTTTTTCCAGTGCTCTTCTGTCATGGGAGTGCCTGGCCCTCGGCTTAAGGTCATAGTTGGAGGTGTGGGACCTAGGAGGTCGTTTCACCCAGGGACATCCCAGCTGCTCAGTCCCGTGAGGATGCTGTGACGTTGACTCCAGGGACGCAGTCCTTAGAAATGAAGTTGTCTGTCCTCAAGCAGTGGCTAGCTTTGTTTGTAAATATGGTCAACATTTGTTCATTTCCTACAAGGGATTTATTTCATTGTGAAGTTTGGCTGTCTTCAATGTCCATATACTGAAAAAAATATTAAAATTAGTTTTAAGCAAATGAGTACATTTAAATTCAGGACTTTGATCAAGGATGCATTTAAGATGATGAGAAGAAACTGCTGCTCTGGCAGATGAGGAAGTGTTTGTATTTTTTATGCAGTTGTTTTTGGGTACCTGTTATAAACCAAGAACCATGCTAAGCACCCAAAGCCAAAAAATACCATTTCATCATCATAGAAAAACCCATTGTACTGTTATTACACAGCTTAAAAGGTGGAGACTATAGATTCTTTAACTTTCCTTTACCAAAATACAGTAATTCAGTAGACATAGGGTGGGTGAGTTTTTAGATCAAGGCTTTTGGTAGCCCTGATGTAGCTGTCCTGCCCATGTCCCCTGCCTGAGTCCCTGCGGCTGCCCTTGGGGACCGCAGGCTGTGTGCTGTGTTACACTTTTCTCACCAGGACTCACAGGACTCCTGAGTAGTCAGGACAATATGATTCCTTAGATTTAATTTTTTTAAATTAAAAAAATTTTTTTTGAGACATGGTTTTTGTAGTTTAGGCTGGCTTTGAACTCACAGCGATCCTTCTGCCTCAGCCTCCCAAGTGTTGGGATTACAGGCATGTGCCACCACACCCGGCTAATTGCTTGGATTTAAGTAGCGACCCTGAGTAGAGTACAGATTTGTGACCATTCAGTTAGGAAGGAGCAAAGATGAGTTTCAGTAGCCTTGGTGCAGATGCGCAGGCCTTGTCACCTCCTCAGGAGCTTCAGATTTTGGGGATCCTGCTCAGGTCCTGATGCCCTTGTGTGGCCATAGTAGCTCTGGTAGAGGCACTGAGACAGTGTTGGAGTCACTGGGGCCATGACACAGCCATGGTCATGGGTGCTGCCTGCCTCTGCCTTGTCCCTGCCAGGCCCAGCCCTTTAGGTGTGAGTAAAAACTGTAGTGTTAGGTTATTGATTAAATATTATTGTAGCGGGGGGTGTTTGCTTATGCCCAGCACCCAGGAGGCTGAGGTATAATCCTAGCACTGGGGAGGCTAAGGCAGGAGGATTGCTGTGAGTTCAAGGCCACCTTGAACGACATAGCAAGACCATCTCTCAGAAAGAAAAAATTATTGTATAAAATGCATTTTCTAAATTCTGTTACCAGCACCACCCATCAGTTTTCCAAATAACTCTGGTTGTACATGTCTACATGCTTTTGTGGAACGATCCCCTCCCCCGTAACTGGGATTTGGTGGCATTTTAATAGAAATTCAGGAAGTAGCTCAATGTCCACATGCTGCAGCTGTTTTGGGGTCCTTGGCAAGAAGTTCTGGGAGCAGACAACCTTCAGAGAGGAGAGACCCATTGCAAGAAGATATTCCCTTGCATGTTGGGGGGTGGCTTTCCCTGTACACTATGGTCGCCTAGGACACTTGGTTAGAGTCCACCTGCATGAGCGGGGGCTTGGACTCAGAAGCGGCTGGTGGAGCTGGTCGGCCTGAGCCCGAGTGGGTCTGAGGAAGACATCTCAATGACAATTACTCTTTGTTTCTTAAAATGCATAGGAAGAGACAGAATACGTGGAACTTCTTGCTGCAGAAAAACACCAAGTGGAAGCCCTTAAAAATATGCAGCACCAAAACAAGAGTCTGTCCATGCTAGATGAGATTCTTGAAGATGTGAGGAAGGCTGCCGATAGGCTGGAGGAGGAGATAGAAGAGCATGCTTTTGATGACAACAAATCTGTAAGCACCTTCTCTACAGCCCTTCTACCCGCCGAGCTGCCCTGGTAGAGATGGGCCTGAAAGCTGGCATGAGTGCAAGTATGAGTGTGAGGAGGAGAGAGAGATTGGCAATGGGAACAAGCTGGGACACTTGTGTGTCACATGGAAAATCACTTGACCTGGTCTCTGGAAGTAAGCTAGTTTATATATATATATATATATATATATATATATAAAAAATCTTAATTTTTTTTCCAGCCTGGCTTGTTGGTACACACTTACAATCCTAGCACTCTGAGAGGCTGAGGCAGGAGGATTGCAAGTTCAAACTCAGCCTGGGCAGTTTAGTGAGACACTGTTTCAGATTTAAAAAAAAAAAAAAAAAAGACTGAGGTGCCTAAGTCCCTGGTTCAATCCCCAGTACTGCCAAAACAGAAAAAACATATTTTCTTCAAGATAAGATCTTGCTATGCAGCTCAGGCATTGAACAGTCCTCCTGCCTTAATTTCCTGAGTGCTGAGATCACAGGGGTGTGCCACCATGCCTGGCAGCTCCATTGGATAGTCTGTGCTGTAAGTTCTTTTCAGAGGACTGTCCTGTACCAGAAGCAGGGTTCGGGCTGCTTCCTTGTCATATGTTTGGACCCTAAGGAAAAATTGGGGTGGGTGCAAATAAACTGACCATGAATCTTAGAGTGGACCTGCAAAAGGGCTTAGATAATCTTTTTTTGCTAATCAGAATGATAGCAGGGAAAAAGGGAGAGGAAAATAAAAAGTGAAAGGGAAAGGTATTTTGAAAGGCAATAATTCTGAGATCAGGAGATTGTCTTAAGTATTTTAACAACTATGAAGTTTTGAAAGAATTTGCCCTAAATAAGGTAAGGTAGGTGTTTGTAAGCAGCGGCAATCCTCAACATTGCCGTCCTTGAATTCTTTAACTGGAGAGATGAACAGGGATTGCTCCTTGCCGCCTCATGCTGTGGCTCTGCCCTGCTTCTGGGAACGTGGGATTGAGCCTGCTGTGTCCCTTCTGGTGCCCAGTGCTGATTACTCCACAGGTCAAAGGGGTCAACTTTGAGGCGGTTCTGCGTGTGGAGGAGGAAGAGGCTAGTTCAAAACAGAACATTACAAAGCGGGAGACTGAGGACGGCCTGGGCCTCAGCATGCTGATTGATTCACAGAACAACCAGTACATCCTGACCAAGCCCCGAGATGCCACCATCCCACGTGCAGACCACCACTTCATCAAGGCAAGTGTGCACAGCCTCCCCATGGGGTGGGGTGAGAGGGGTGGGGTGAGCTGTGTCCCATGGGCCTTACATTGGCCTTCCTCCTGTCTCCCAAGGCTGTGGCTTTAGACAGTTTTTCTTAATTTTCAAATTTTTTCTTTAAGGGGAAATGCATTTTAATATTTAAAATGAAATATAATTTTACTCTTGAGAATTTGGAACTTCATGAAGTTAGGAGTTACTGTGATGGGATTAAAGCTTCAGTTATGTAGAAACTAGTTTCATAAAACACCGAGGTGGAAAGATTTCTGTAGCCCAGGAGTTTGAGACCAGTCTAGGCAACATTGTAAGACCTTTTTTCAAAAGAAATAAAATCAAAATAAAAGCCATTTTTACTAACATAGAAAGCTCTTATGGGGCAGAGGAGTTTGTGGTGAGGATTCCTACTTGGCTTACTTCAGATGTAGAGAGCGGAGTGGGAGCCCCAGTAGCCCTGGTGTCCAAGGGAGGCCACGAGCATCCATCCCCAGGAGCCGGGTCTGGGAATGGTGACTGCTTTGCAGTGGGCCAGGACCTGGATGCCGCCCACAGGGAAGCCTGGCAGCCTCTGGTACATTGCCAGGTCTGGACAGAACCGCCTCAGACTGGAACCTCCTACAGGAACGGGAGCTGAGACGGAGTGGAAGACAGGCGCTGCTCAGGCCCCTGTGGTGCTGAGCCCACAGTGTGGTGCTGTCTTGACTCTGACCCTAGTCTGCAGCATGCAGTGTTGGTACCCTCCGGGTGTTCTCTCCCTTCATAATGAGCGAGCAGTGCCGCAGAGCTGTTTGGAGGCCACACAGGCACCCTGTCCCTGCCACTCTCACAGACGTCTCCACACTCTTGACAGAAGCAAAACTCCTCTCAGCTGCCCTGCCCACCTTTCAAACCTGGAGGTGATGTCAGGCCTTCTGTCCTGTCTTGGTCTTCTCTCAGCCACCTGCTAGCAGAGATGGGTTTCTTATGTGTTTGTCCCCCATCAGGACATTGTCACCATAGGAATGCTGTCCCTGCCTTGTGGCTGGCTGTGCACGGCGATAGGACTGCCCACCATGTTTGGTTACATCATCTGCGGTGTGCTGCTGGGGCCGTCGGGACTGAACAGCATTAAGGTGAGAACATTTAACTCTTGGAATGTCTAGCATGATGCAGAGGAAGCACACAGACACCTAAGGCTCTGGCTTGAGTCAGTGAAGAGGCCCGTGTCATGCACCATGCCTAGAGATGCCCTTGGACGGTCCTCTTAAGCCCTGGGAGGGTTATGTCCCTTGTTGAGGGGGGCTTGGCTGGAGGAAAAGCCCTATGTGTCTCTAAGTTGTGTTCATTTTAAAGATTCCATGTCTAGCACCTTGAGGGTCTACAGCGTCCACATCACCCTCAAACCCTGAAAGCAACAAATGCTGGGCTCAGTGTGTTTTACAGCAGTCTCTACACATGGCAACGCTACCTGAAGCTCCTGTCTTGAGAGGCAGCAGAGGCTGTTTGCAAAGCAGGTCTCTGCACTAGCACACATGGATGCACCTGGGAGGGAGGGAGGGGCAGCAGAGGTGCCGTGGACACACACTCACATGGGCAGATGGCAAGGGTGTGGGGAGGAGGTGTGTGAGACCAGCACAGGCAGGACTTCTGGGGAGTTAAGCTGTGTGGCACCCCAGTCTCACCAGTGCACCCAGCGTGGTGGCAGGAAAGGCAGATGGGAAGAGCAAACCTGGGACCTGGTTGGAAGAACTCATTGATCTCCTCAGATGGAAGCATGGCAGAAGGATCTGAAGAGATGGCCACACAAGACCAATCTTATGGCAAGCACTGGCAAGGCCAGAGCCAGTCTATCTGGCCACCTCAGGCTGTAGCTTTGGGACTTCCAGGGGAGCAGCAGATGTCACCGAAATGCAGTCCCACAGCCTCGAGAGGAGCCTACCCACACTCAGCTGGGCACAGTGGGCTCTCCTCAGTGCTGTCCTCTGCACCAGCATTTCCCCATGGTTCTGAGCACTATGAAAGCCTCCCTGCCTCTCTCACCCTTCCAGAGTGTGACAAGCAAATGCAGGTACAGCTGCAGAGGTTACTCACAGCAGGGAGGGAGGGCAGGTGGTATGGGGTAACAGCGTGGCTGCATGCTGCAGGCAGCCAGCCTCAAGGGGCAGCCACTGTGGAAAGGTAAGGCAGGTGAAACGGGGCGGGTCCATGAGGAAGGACAGCTGTACCAAAACACTCCTATTCTCCACAGGAAATCGCCAGTGGGAAGTATGGGCTTGAGTATCTTATTTTGAAGTCATAAGTCATAGCCTGATAAGAAAAGGAATAAAAAATAAAGGAAAAAATAGCAATAAAGAAACATAAAAATAGGATGTCAAAAGAAATAAAAGCAAACAAGCATCTGGCATAACACTAAATATAAGTGGGATAAACTCTCCTATTAAAAGAAGCTTATACATGATATCCCAAGAAAAATACTATAAACAAGAGATTCAGTAATAAAGCAGTTAAGTAAGGTTGAAACTTTATAGATGTAAATAAAAACAGGGTGGGAATCCTGAAACTGAATGTTAGCTCACACTGGAGTCAGGAACTGTACAGTGGAGGCACTTAGAAAACTGCACAGCTAGGAGGCATAACAGGGACTTGCAGTGTTGAGTACTGTTTATCTAATACAGTAACTTTAGAAATAAATAACAGATGAAAAATCAAGACAAATACAGAGCCCAGTCAGAACCTGTGGGTGCTCATGAGACTGCTCACCTGCTTGGACAGGTTGAATCCAAACAGGAAGCCAGCATGGGCCAGGGCAGGCTGAAGAAAGCAGAAGACAGAAGTGACGTTGAATTTGAGAGGTGATGAACTGAAGGGCGAGTTTTTAGAAAATAAAACGAGAAATATTTCTCAGGCTAATCAAGAAAAAGGAGAAAGCAGGAAGTCAAAATGACCTCAGGTATAGAGGATTGCCTTCTTAAAAAAAAAAAAAAGAAAAAAAAAGTTTTGGTGGATGTGCCCCTGAGTGTGAGCACAGCTGACCAAGTGCCTGCAGTCTGTTAAGCATTTAGTTATCTGGCTTTCATTTTTTTGTTTTTCAGTCTATTGTACAGGTGGAGACATTAGGAGAATTTGGGGTCTTCTTTACTCTTTTTCTTGTTGGCTTAGAGTTTTCCCCAGAAAAGCTGCGAAAGGTAAGGACCTAATCTGTTATTACTGTTAAGCAACTGGTTTTGATTTGTTTACTTCTAACATTTATTGACAACTTAGCTGTCACATTGTTTTAGGATAGAGTGTGATATTTTAGCTTGATATTATTAAAACATAAATTTGAAAAGAAAAAAGTACAGAGTTTGAAAAAGTTAAAATTCAGCAAATGAAATTAATTCCATGTGGCTAATTCTAGAAGAGACCTGAGAGATAATATTTGAACTTTATTTCAGAACTGTTTAAGAATGAAGCGCCCTAGACCGTGCATATTCAGTGTGTTGCCCCTAGGACACTGTTCCAGAGATGGATGTGAGTTAATTAGAACTACTTTATGTCTCAGCAGACACCTCACAATGAGGAAAGTAGCTGATAAATGGTGGTGGGGGTGATCAGAGAAAGGCAGTGCCTGCCTGACAAGCAGGAGGTCCCGAGTTCGATTCCTGATACCAAAAAAAAAAAAAAAAAAAGAGACAGGCTGGAGTAAAGACAGGCTTCTTGGCACCAAGTCCGAGCGTTACTGATTGGGGAAGGGAGGTGCTTTCAGCGGAAGACTCCGAGGGCAGCCTGGCAGGTGCAGGAGAGGCTGGGATCCATGGGTCCCCCTGAGGCTCCATGAAAGGAAGGATCCAAGTGAGTTTGAAAGCTCTGTCCATGAAAAGAATTTTAACTGCTCTTTTGTAATTTGCTTAAGAAAGACTAGAACCAAGCTGAATTCTGGTGGGTAATTACTTGTTTGGAATGGTATTACCCATTAATATCAGAGAACAAAGAAAAGTGAATGTTATAGCACTAAACCTTAAGAGGAAGCAAATGAAGGCAGGCACAGTGGCACATACCTGCAATCCCAGCTACTTGGAGGCTGAGGCAGGAGGACTGTGATTTGAGGCCAGCCTGGGAAATATAGTGAGATCCCATCTCCAAAAAAAAAGCATATGGCATGGGAAGCAACAAGAAATAACAACATCCAGTAACCATGGCAATGCCTTTTTTCTTCTCCACATGTCCTAAATTTTCCATAGTAGTATATACTTTTTTATGTAAGGGAGCAACATCTTTTAAAGGCTTGTGTTTGTTTTCAAACTGCTACTCTGGTTTCTGACAGTTTTCTTTCTGTGCTTCTGCTACACATTGCCTTAGTCTGTCCTGCTGTCTTTAGGACCTTCAGCTTCTTCCACCTCTTTCTCCCTTGAAAGCACATGCTTATACATCTCACCACCGCCTGTACTTCTCAAGAATGCCTGCTTTCCCCAGGGTACTCTGGATTACTTCAGTACTTTCTCCAGTTCCTCTGGCATCTATTTGTAGTTCTGCTATATGAATCCCACATGTTAATTTTTGAACTTAAAGCCTAAGAAAATTATCACTTTCCAAGACCCTAAAAAACAGCAGCGGATCTCAGTGTCTTCACAGATGTAGTAGGAATTTGGGAGATTAATTTTTTTCTGGCTCTAAACATTTGTAATTTATATTTTTCCATTGTAGTATTTAAAGCTAAATAATTAAACGGCATCACACAAAGCTCACATAATAATTTCAAACATCTCCAAGCATGCCCCTTTGTCAGTCCCAGCTTTCATCTGTGTGTTGATACCCTGGTCTTTGTGCTTGGTCTGGATGTGGGCTTCTCGGAAGGAAGGTGTTACCATGCTAATTCACGTGGCTGGTGGTGATGAAGCAATGAGTGGGGAGAATCCTGCGCTGGGACCCTGATGTCCTTGAGCCCTCACGGGGCCTTGAGCTGGTGGCTGGGCTGTGTTTCTCGCCCTCTCTGCCCAGGGTCCTCACTTCTCGCAGGAACCTCACTTGTGCCATTCTAGAGCTTGGGCAGCTGCCAAGGGGCAGCCCTGACTTTCATGCACCTGTCCGTCCAGTGCTCATCACGTAAAACACATCTTATTTCTCTTTTAGGTCTGTGGATTCAGATTGCAGGAGGTTGATGCCCAGCTAACAAACATATTTATTATTTTATTCATTTTTGCTTTTTTGTTACGAGGTATGAGTGACTGGCAAAGCTTTAGGTCAGCCTGAAATAGCCAGGGTGTTGACTCCTCCCAGGTTTTAGAGAGATGTGCCTCAGGGAAGGGAGGGGCAGACACTTGGAGATGGCCAACACCCAGAGAGTGGGGCCACAGCCCAGGGCTTGTGGGCAGTGCTTCCTGCGCCCCAATGGCAGGGGTTACCTGGGACCAGAGGGCCCTGCAGGCTGCATTTCTGACAGGTGCTGGGAGCCCCCTCTGACCAGGAGCTGTGACTGCTCTCAGTCTTTTCCCTGGGGCCTTCTGTCCAAGGAGAGGCACTGGATCATGGGCTTAGAGAAGGTCTGCTCTGGTAGGAACCTCAGATACAGCCACACTGCTTGGGTACAGAGCCACTTAGACAGCCCCAAGGGTGGGCAGGCCCCTACATTGGTGCTCATGTTGGCCCCAGCAGTACCTGCCCAGAACCCAACCTCATAGCCCAGCAGCAGTCTCCGTGGTCACAGTAGAAGGAGGAGGAGGAGCCTGAGTTAGCTTTAGAGCACCATCAAGATCTAACCCGAACCCAAGCACAGCAAACAGAAAACAGCATCTGAGCATTTGGGAGCAGTCTTTGTGGGTACTGGTTGCCCTCCCCTGGTGGCAGGAGAGAGCAGCACAGTCAGTGCAGATCACACGGCAGAGGATGCTGAGTGGAACCTGGCCTTGGCTCTGCTAGGCTTGGCCCTCTATCTCCGTATGGGCTTCCATGATCCTCAGCTGCCTTGTGGCAGGGCTTGGTGGCCTGGAAAGAGCTGCAATTCCTTCCTGACCTTGGGCTGGCTGGGCAGGCTGCCTGCCGGCCATGCTGTGGCGGGGGCTGGGGCAGCCGAGGTCTCCCCACAGCCAGAGTAGGAAGACCCTCCCTGCCCCCGATTTCCAGAGGTGAGGCTTCTTCCCCATAACAGCCCAGCACTGAAGGAGTGGGAGCAGCGGATGGGTGTGTGGAGCTCTCAAGGGAGTCGAGCTTGGGGACCTTGGATATGACTGTGAGTGTGCGGCAGGGAGAAGAATGAACATGTACGCAGGCGGGGCAGCATGGGCTTCTAATTAACACACATTGCCTGTGTTGGTGTAAATATCATGGCTTTAATTATATCTCTCCTCTAGATTCAGCCCTTGAGGGTTAGGGTCAAACCTAGTTTCTTCCACATTTCCCATCACATTTGGAACCGGGCTAGCTGCATATTGAGCACCTAATAAAAATCTGTTTGCCTGTTAGCCACAAGGCTTGGCCTTGCCTCCTGCTCTGAGGGTCTCTGTGGCCTTATACAAATTACTTCACCTCTGTGTGTCTTGGTATTGTCATCTAAAATGGGCAAGGGAATTTATAGTCTCCAAGGTTTGTCCTGAGGGTTAGATTTTTATTTACATGCACCAGAGACACAGGAAACAGATCATGTGTGACCCACAGTCAGTCCCGTGTTTCTGAGTGTTCCGCATCCGTGCGTTTAGCCAACTGCAGGTTGAAAAACTTCAGGAAAAAAATTGCGTCTCTATCAAACACAAGCAGACCTTGTCTTTTGTTATTCCCTAAATAATGTAACAACTATTTGCATACTCTGCATTATTTTAGGTCTTGAAAGTCATCTCCAGGTGATTTAAGGTACACAGGGCAGTGTATGGGACGATGTGCAAACTACACTGTTTATATCAGGACCTGAGCTTTGGAGGACTTTGGGGTCTGGTGGGTGGCCCCTAATTGTACATGTGTTGTGTGTGTGTGTGTGTACACATGCCTGGGGCAGGTGTTGCTGTGTCAAGATTGACTGGGTGTGTGACCAGCATTGCATCCCTGGAGATCAGGTTATGGTAACCATGTGAGCACTGTAGGTGGCTGCTGTCCCTAGGATGTTGTTATGGTTTGTGTCTAGATATCCCCCAAAAGCCTCATGCAGTCATGGGGTAGGCTTCTAGAGTTCATGATTGATTCATGGTCCAGTGTTGGAACTGTGGATGTGAGTGCTACACCTGCCCTGGGGTGGATAGTTTGCATACAATGTAAGGGAGGGAAAGAGGCTGCTTGCCACAACTCCTCCCTTTTTCTCTTGCTGCTTTTGCTATCTTCCAACACCATGAACTGTTGCTCTCTGCCGCACCACGCTGCCTTGGAGCCAGCCAAGTATGGACTTCCCAAATAGTGAGCTAAATACACCTTTCCTTCCTTAATTTTGGGCATCAGGTATTTTGTCCCAGCAATTAGAAAAAAGTAACCAAGACAGATGTGCATAAATGTGTGTGTTCTCTTTCAGGTGTGGAAAATATCCTTGCAAGGGCCATGTTATATGACAGTACTAATGATTGCCTTTGGCCTATTTTGGGGACACCTTTTGCGGATCAGACCCACCCAGAGTGTCTTCATTTCAACTTGTTTGTCCTTATCGAGCACACCGCTGGTGTCCAGGTTCCTTGTGGGCAGTGCCCGTGGAGATAAAGAAGGTAGGTGACCGGTGTAGTACACGTGTAATTGCTCACATGGAGTTGACTTGTGAATTCACAGTCAAAGGCCTGTGAGGAGAAACTGCAAGTCCTCTCCCATCACGGCTGTCCAGGCCAGCATGGGTTCTCAGCAGAGGACTGGGTACCTAGAAGCTTAACATCTGCAAGCCGCCACTTCTCTGCTGGATCAAAAGAAACAGCTGTTGCCTGCTTTCAAATGTGGGATAGTTTGAGACCTCTTAAGACAGTGAACCGAGCCAAGACTGGTGGCTGAAGGGGTTCATGTTGCTGTTGGCTGCTTACCAGGAGTGGACATGCCTGACGTGTTTGAAGGGTGCACCCAGTTCCTGCCTCTGGCTTCAGTTTCACCTGAGCGTGGACAAACAGACAAGTGGGAAAGATCACAAGGAGACTTTTGTGCAGCCACAAAATACAAAGTCAGAGTGTTGTAGTCACTTCACACTTCACACTGAAAGCCCATGCACCCAGGAAGTAAAATACGGAAACAACCAAAGAGGCGCTGCTGGCCCCTCCTGGGCACAGTGCTGCCCCATGCTGGGCCATGTGCAGATCTGGCCCATGGGCCTCCCGAGTTCTGGGCCAGGAACCAGAGCCCTGAGCCCACACAGCCACACTGAGTTCACTGACTACATGACGGGTTTGGAAAGCTGCTGCCTGCTTTGAGACTGTGGTGTGGATGCAGACATGCCCTGTGGGCACCAGCTGCCCTGCCCTAGTGGTCACTTCTGGGCAGATGCTGCCCCTCACCCTCCTTGAGAACTGCACAAGGACCAGTGCGGGCACTGATGGAGACAGCAGGGAGGAAGTGGGGACAGTAATGAAGTGTGGAAACCACTCCTAATGGGCCTGCCGCACACCAGTCTCTGCACCTGGAGGGAATCTGCCACGAGAAGAGCAGCCATCACACTCAGTCCTCATGATGTGCACTGTTTCTCACGAGAAAGCTCAGAAAAGACTTCAGGAAACGACACTGACCGCCACAGTAAGAGTTCCCTACCCATGACGAAGCGTGGCAAAGACTTCAGAGTGAGCACGCTAGGAGCACCGGCAGCGTAAATGCAGGTTCCACCTCTGCTTACTTGGCTCACGCACAAGGAGTGTAGAACAGATGTGAGATGGAAAAGATCACAGAAGAGACTTTCACACTGCCTGGCTGCGTGGCTCAGAGTCCACGGGACAAGAGGCTGGGAGATGGCTCTAGTCTTAGTCTTTACATTCAGAGTACCTCCCCACAACTGAGGAGAAAAACAAAACTGCACTTGCTCTCCGCGTGCCATGTGAGAAGAGGGAAAGCAGGTAGACACAGCTTCTCGGGATATCTGGGAGGTAGTGGGTGTTAGTAGAGAAATAGTCTACACGCTGGGGCGGGTGGGTCCTCTGTAGCCACCACAGGTGCCGTGGAAGGGTAGGGTTGAGAAGACAGCACTGATGTCCCCTCGGTCCCATACCACAGGATAGCCATGTTGGCTGAGACAGGCACTGCAGGCACAGGGATTCCTGGAGTGGGTAAATCTGCTTTGTACTGTTAGAAAAGGGGACTGCGGTATGTTTTCTTGAAGGCCGCCTGAGGCAAGGCAGGAGTCACCATTCATGGGTAGTGTTTTGGAGGGTGGCAGACACTGGAGGACATAGACTTTGATGGAAAATTTGTCGTTAAAGATGTTAAAATGTAATATACCTGCAGCATAGCTAGAAAATGTGACTTGAAAAAAAGTAAATTTGTAATAGTAACAAAAAGTACAAGAAATGTTAGAATAAATCTCTCAAAAGATTTGTCACCTTTATTTTCTTTTTCTCCTTTTTTTTTTTTTTGAGACCAGGTTTTGCTATGTAGATCAGCTTGGCCTTGAACTCAGTATGTAGCCTATGCTGGCCTCGAACTCATGGCGATCCTCCTGCCTCAGCCTCTTGAGTGCTGGGATTACAGGCATGCACCACCACAACTGGCATATGTCACTTTTAAAGATACCAAAATGTTATTAAGACTTAACTGGAGTTTGTGAATAAAAAGGTTTAGCACATAAAGATGTTATTTATTCCCAGATTTATAAGCTCAGAACTATTCTAGTAAAAGGTCTGGCAGGGTATTATACACAGCTTGGCAAGCTGATTGTACGGTTTATTTAGAAACAATGGCCAAGAATAGTTGACATAGATTTGAAGTGAGGAGCATGTCTTCTCCACCCCGGGGCTGATTATGTTGCTGTGACAAAGTCACAACCTTGCCACCACTTAGATGGGGCAGCGGACAGCCCAGGCACTGCAAGGAGGCAGGAGAAGACAAGCAAGTGGATGAGAAAAGTTGCCCAAATGAAAAACAGCAGTGACATTAGAGCCTTGTCTTAAACCACACACACAAAGTCATGGATGAAGCATCTATTGTGAAAAGCAGAACTGTAGAACTGTTAGGAGGAAATACAGGAAAAATATCCTCATGACCCTAGGGTGGAGTGAATTTTTTAAAATACAAGAGCCCCAGAGGGCGAGCCTTGGTAGATAGGAACACAGTGAGTGTTTACTCAAAAGTTTTTTATAGCCACAGGCTTTGGAAAGACTTTTGCTTACTCTGCATAATGAGCAAAGGATTCAAATCCAGAACATTCTGAGAATGTCTGGATGCCCAAACAGGAGAGGGTCCAATAGGAAAATGGGCAGAACATGCCATAGAGGACACCCGAGTAGAGGGAGCTCATGGCAAGATGCCTGGGCTCGCTGGGTGTCAGGGCCATCAGGCCGCTGCCTCAAAGGGGCCCTTCCCCTTCACTGCTTTAGCACGTGTCTCAGTGCGGAGGACGGCCGAGCCCCGGGAACACCTCAACATGCTCGGTGGAAATGGGATGGGCCCAGCTGCTTTGGAGACAGATTCAGAGCTGAAGATTTATTGTCTGTTGTGTATCCTAGAAAATGGGATGTGCAAGAGTAACAGCATTCGTTCCTTTAATTTGGATTTTTTTTTTTTTGCAACTGGGAATCGAACTCAGTACCTCACACTTGCCAGGCAGGCACCATGCCACTGAACTACATTCCCAGCCCACATTCGTTTCTTTGAGACAGCATTATTTTTAATAGCAAAAGTTGTTTAGCGAAAGCTTTTCATTGGCACACTACGGCTGTGGGTGTGGGTTAAGCCTGCAGTGTTGAGAGGGAAATGAGATGCACGACACACCATCTGGGAGGAAACGTTGGGTTTGTAAAGTTTGAGGACTGCAAAAGAGACAAACTAAAATCTCTTTGAGCAAACCAAAGCATTTTAAAGATTAAAAACTTTCTTTTAGTTGGGGTCTTGCTGTGCTACCCAAGCTAGTCCTCAGCTGGGTCAGGTAATCCTCCTGCCTCAGCCTTCTGCATAGCTGGGGCGACAGAGGGGTCCACCACTGTGCTTGGCTTCAACTTTACTATTCAGGTTATCAAAATTACATTATTTTGGAAATGCACAGATGACTCTGCTGTGCGAGTCACATTCTGAACACACGTCTCTCCGGCAGGTGACCTGGACTACAGCGCTGTGCTGCTTGGCATGCTGGTTATGCAGGATGTGCAGCTGGGGCTGTTCATTGCCGTCATGCCGACGCTCATACAAGCAGGGGCCAGCTCATCTTCCAGGTAAAGGTCAGCACACACTCTGCCTTTCCGATGTGAAGCTGTTGGTGAGCGTTCAGAAAGGGTACCCAGAGCCTGTGTCCCACTGTGACACTGCTGGCCTCAGCGCCGTTGGCTGTAGCTCTCAGGCACCAGTGAAAGGTGCAGTGTCACCGTCCCACTGCTGTGCCATTTCGCAGGTGGAGAGGGAGCGGCACCCTCCTTGGGGTGGTTGGGAGGACTTAATGAGAGAAGCCACAGGTGTGCTAGGGCACCCCTCAGCAGGAGTGATGTGTGTGACACGTATGTGTGGGCATACATACCTGGTTGCATATGGTATATGCATGCATGTATGCACCCGTGTGTGAGTTGGCATCCGTGTGTGCAGTGTGTAGGTTGACACATGTATGCATGCATGGTGTAGGCCTGCATGCATGCAGTGTGTTGCGTGTGTGAAAGCTGTTGTTGCAGTGGTGTTGTCACTGTCACCATTATTACTGAAATCTTCCAATCCCTGTTTCAGTTTTCTCAGTAAAGTAAGTCCAAGTTGAAGTACACTTGCTAGGTTCATGTGGAAGGACAAGCCAGCTGGGAAAGTGGCTGTCTCAGTTACTTTTCTGTCATTGCTGAGATAAAATACCCAATGCCCAAAATGAAGGAAGGAAAGGTTTATTTAGCTTACGGTTTGTGGAGGTTTCAGTCCATACTTGGCTGGCTCGGAGGCAGAAGATAGCAAAGCAACAAGACCAAAGAGAATGGCAGCCAAACAGCAAACAGCCAGAGCAAACCGGAGGAATGGCAGCAAGCAGCTTCTTTTTCCCTGCCTTACTTTGTAAACAGGCTACCCCCAACATAGGGGTGTGTAGCTCTCACATAATCTCCATGCCCTCCTCTTCCACAGGCTCAGGATGTATACAAAGTAAGCACTCTGGTTTCCTGCTGAGTCACTTAGCCAAACTTCTAGACTCCCCAAGTTGACACAATGTTTCAACCATAACACCCCACCCCTTGTCAACTTGGCAACCAGACACATTTCTTTAAACCAGTTTCCAGATACAAAGACATGCTGTTACATTAGAACCATAACATTTCGACCCCCAAAGACTCATGCCCATCCCTTTATGCAAAAGGCATTTAGTCCATCTGCAAGAGTTGCCAAAGTCCTAACAGTTGCAGCACTGCTGAAGAGTCCAAGTCCCAACTCTCCTCGGAGATGAAGGCAAACTCTTAGCTGTGACCCCCTGTATAAATGAAAAGTTAAACACTCCCAACATTCAATGGCACAAAATAAGCAGTACCGTTCCAAAAGGTACAAACGGGGATACAGAGCATGGGGACCAAAGCAAGTCCAAAATCCAGCAGGGCTAACGTTATGTCCTGTAATTCCACATGCAGCATCTGAAGCAACTTGTGGCACATTGTAAGCTCCAAAGGGTTTGTATGAGTCCACCCCTATGGCACTTCCAGTGATTACAGCTTCCATGGCTTCTCTCTTTGGCCTGCTTTGCTCCCTCCTTGCAGCTATCCTTTGATGATCCACGGTCCTGGCTTTTCTAAACTTCTGAGGTCTCCAGTGCACCTTTTGCTTCACACTCATAGCCTCATACACTGCCCTCTCAGGGGCACACTGCCTGGCCTCCCAGGCCTTCTGAAATCTGGGTGGAAGCCTCTTAAACCTCAGAACTTGTGTATTCTCCATGCACCTAAAGCCAGGGCTACGAGGATGATGCCAAGGTCTGCTGCCACCTGGAGCAGTAGCCAAGCTTTCCTCTCTCTTGGCCACAGAGGTCGAGTGCCTGGATCACTGGGCACCCTGAATCCAATTCTGCAGAGCAGGTTTTCTATGCTGCCGCCATTCTGGAACCTGGTGCGGCCGCTGCCGCCATTCTGGAACATGGTGCTCTGAGGCTTCCTTCTCAAGGCAATGTCTGTCACCTTTGCAGTTTTGAGGCTGCAAAGGGTGGAGACTTGCTGCTTCCTGTGATGCCCTCAGGCCATCTTTTCTATTCTCCTGCTCCTTCTCAGGAATAGAGATCTCCTCAGCCTTATCTTTGCAGTCCACAGCATTACTGGAGCTTCCTTTCTGGCCAAACTCACATTTTAAATCATCCTGCTGGGCTCTTTGCTCTTGATTTTCAATATAAATCTGGCTAAAAGCCCCCAACAATAGCCATGCCACTTCCCCAACATTCGACTGCCTTGAAATTTCTTTTGCCAGATTAACCAGTCCACTGCCGCCCTTAATCTCAGTCTTAGGCAAAGTCTCTGGACATAAGCAAAATGCAGACAAACTTTCTGCCAAGCCGTAACACACATCGTCTGGAGTCCAACGACCAATGCAGTCCTTCCCAGCAGAAACCTCCTGAACCTGGTCTTTACCGGCACGATTTCTGTCGGCCTTCAGGGCTTCTGAGCTCTGACCAGAATCTCCCAGACAGAACAGCCGAAGCTGTTCTAGCGCTTCTCTTTCAGGCAACATCTCTGAACCTTTCCGAACACTTCCCACAAGCCATTTCCAAAAGCTGTTGAATCACATGGTCAGATATAGTCACAGCAACGGCCCCACTCCTCTGGTACCAAATTCTGTCTCGGTTACTTTTCTGTCATTGCTGAGACAAAATACCCAACGCCCAAAATGAAGGAAGGAAAGGTTTATTTAGCTTTCAGTTTGTGGAGGTTTCAGTCCATACTTGGCTGGCTCGGAGGCAGAAGATAGCAAAGCAACAAGACCAAAGGGGGGAATGGCAGCCGAACAGCAAACAGCCAGAACAAAAGGGAGGAATGGCGGCAAGCAGCTTCTTTTTCCCTGCCTTACTTTGTAAACAGGCTACCCCCAACATAGGGGCTTGTAGTTCTCACATTATCTCCATGCCCTCCTCTTCCATAGGCTCAGGATGTATACAAAGTAAGCACCCTGGCTTCCTGCTGAGTCACTTAGCCAAACTTCTAGACTCCCCAAGTTGACACAATGTTTCAACCATAACAGTGGCTATGTCCAGAGGGTGGCTGGTTATGAGCATGCTCAGATGAGCTGGTAAAGCTAGAAGCAGCACCACTGGAAAGTGTGGGAGCCCTGGGACCATACAGGGAGGCTGCATCAGGGTAGGACACAGCTCAGGTTTCCTCAAGGAGATGTACCGTTATCTGTGCTTAAACTTATTGTGCTTGGCTCTCTCTGGGGCCAGCATTTACTACATCACTGATGGCACATGATACAACTCGTCAAAAACTAATAGACTTGCTTGGAATTTTTGGAGCCAGTTTGAGTCACTAAGACCTGTCTCATTCACCATTTCTAATCTACATGCTTTTATTCTTCTCCTGCCTCCCTGCAATGGTCAGAATTTCCAGGGCTTTGTTGAATGGGATTGTGGTAGAGAACATTTTGCTTTCTCCTTAATTTCAGTGGAAAGTGTTCAGCCTTCCACCCTGAAGCATGGTGTTACCTGTAGGTCTTTGTAGGTATTCTGTGTCAAGTTAAGGAAGTTTCAGAATTTTGTTGTTGCTCTTGTTGGAACCGGTAATCAAACTCATGACTTCATGCCTGCAAGGCAAGTGCTATGCTGCTGAGCTATATCCCCAGTCCCTGGGAGAATTTTTATCATGAGTAGTTGTGTTAGCTTTTCAGTGCTGTAACCAATTTAAAGGAGAGAAGGTTGATTTTAGGCCATGGTTTTCAGAAGGCTCAGTGCATGGTCATTGGGCTCTGTTGCTTCCATGCCCACAGTGAGGCTGAGTGCCATGGCAAAAGTCTTTGAGGAGCACAGTGGCCCTGTTAATCAGCTTTTCATCACTGTGACCAAGCACCTGCAAAGTCAACCTTAAGGAAGAGAATTGGCTATGCCTTGCAGTTTCAGAGGGTTTAGTCCATGGTCACTGGGCTCCACTGCTGGACCTGGGGTAAGGCAGAGTGTCATGGTGGGGACTGTGTATAGAAGCATGCAGCTTATCTTATGTTGGATAGAGACAGAGCCAAGTGGTAGGAAGAGAAAGGAAGAAAAGTTGGGGGTAAGATGTGGTCCCCTTCTCAGTTATCACATTCATGTGCATCAGTCTTCCCTGCTGACATTGGACATCTGCAGGGTCTGCAGTGCTGTCCTGTGCTTGCTTCCTGGCCTTTCTGTCTGTTTGCTGTAGATTTCTTCTTCTAGGATCTTGTGGAACTTACATTATTGATTTGAGACCTGTCTTCTACTATATGCATTTGGGACTGTAAATTTCCTTCTCTGTGCTATTTTAGTTGGATCTCATGTGTATGGATATGGTATATTTCATTTTCATTGAGATCAGTGACTTTTAAAATTACCTTTCCTGCTTTTTTGTTGATTTCTGGGTGTCCAGCGCTGGCACCTCACTTCCAGGCCCTGCAGAGTACCTGTTGTCTGTTTTAATTCATACTTTGATTGCACTGTCATGTTCTAATAAATTAGTTGATACCTGATTATTATTTGTCTGTCATATAGGCTTTCTATAATGTACCTCTCTTCCAATTTTAATAACCAAGGAAATTTTGTAATAACAATAAATCATAGAAATAAGGTCAGTTGTTAATATACACTTTACTTCTTTGAGGCTTTATTCAGAATTAATCCTGATCCTTTCTAAAGGAAAGAATAAACCCTCCCACCCCAGACATTTCACAGGGAAAGAGCAGAACTCAGAAGGGCTCTGATTTCCTGTACCTAACGACAGAGTAAAAGATAGTCATGCACGTATTAAATGCAGCAGTTAAGTTTCTTAGTTGTACAGTTCTCCTGTACATCCGTAAGAACTGCGTGAATATTTCCATTTCAAAAAACAAGTGAACAGTTTGTGCTGCTAACACAGAATTGGGTAAAGTGGAAATGCTCGCCTCTCCCAAAAGAAAGGCAAATAGCACTGCTTCCTGCCGTCAGAACTTAGGAGTTGTGTGAGGCCCATTGAGGGGTCACGGCTAGGAGTGGGAATCAGAGCAGCTTCCAGCAGAAATGAAGTGCTCTTCTCCTGACAGCACCCTGTGTGTGCGTGTGCGCCTGAAGATAGACAGGTGTCTGCTGCTGTGTAGCATGGGGCTGGCTCTCAGTAAGCCACGACCCACATACGAGCACACTTACCCAGCTGCCAGACAAGCAGGTGATGTTCTCAGTGCGGCTGCTGTGGTATGAGGCTAAGGTAACTGTAGCCTTGCCAGGAGCAGCAGGGCTGATTCCCGGTGAGGAATTCGCCTTCAAGCACCCACTGGGATGGGAAAGCTGTCCACTAAGAGTCTTTACATCCTGGGAAGTGCATTTGCTTCAAAGTATCAATTCAAAACATTCCACGTTTAATTCACATAACTTAATTTCTGCGACTGATACAATTCTTGGATTTTGTTTTAATATTTGAAAATAAAAATGTGTATGACTTGGGTAATTTACTCTGCACTATTTTTAAAAGGATTGAAAGTTGTTTTTGGAGGGTTTTGAAGATGTTTTAGAAGTGAAATAATGTGTCTTTCTCTTTTTTCTTTTCTAGCATTATCATGGAAGTACTGCGAATACTGCTCCTGATTGGTCAGATTCTTTTCTCGCTAGCTGCTGTTTTCCTCTTCTGTCTTGTTGTAAAGACTTATCTCATAGGACCATATTATCGGAAGCTCCATATGGAAAGCAAAGGGAACAAGGAAATCCTCGTCTTGGGAGTATCTGCTTTCATCTTTTTAATATTAACGGTAATTCCCACACTACCTGTGTTGTTTTTGTGCTCCTGTTCACAGTCTCTTTCCCTGGAAGCTTATGATCAGTGCTTTACCTTTTCATTTTAGTAATGCTTAAAATATTTGAAACATTAGTACTTTCTATTTTATACATATTTTATAGTGCTAAAGCTAAACTTGTTCACTTACACTCCTAAGCACTTTGTAAAAATATGACTTAGGAGTATTGCATTAATATCAATGTTAGACCATGTTATTCTGCCTTAAATTTTCAAACAGCTTTACACCTTAGTAGGTAAAGGAAATAGTAGGTAAAGTTTCAAGCAAGTTCTACTTCCATTTAATGGTGACAAGCTAGTTGCAGTATAACTCTTCTTGTGACGTGTGAAAGATCTTTGGAGAGGTTCATGCTGGAAACAAGGCACCTTGCCAGGACACACTTGTCACGGGAAAGTGGCGAAGTGGCCGGGACTCCTGCAGATCACCAGGCACTGACACTGTGTGGCCCAGCAGTTGTGCGCCCTAGCTTTTGTCCCACAGAAGTGAAGGATTCTGTTACTCAGTACTGGGGATGTGAGTGTTCACAGCAGCCGTATCATGTAACAACAGCCAGGTTTCCATCAAGGGGTGAGTGCAGATCAGCCAGGGTACCTCCTACCAGGGAGTACTGCCCATGAAGCCACCATGCGCTCAGCCTGGTGCAGCTCCAGAGCTGAAGTACCTCCTACCAGGGAGTACTGGCTGTGAAGCCACCATGCTCACAGCCTGGTGTGTCTCCAGAGAGACACGCACTACCTGGCATGGGTGCAGACGCACAATTTCAGACCCGGAGGGGAGAACCGTGCTTACAAGGGCTGGGGTGGGACTGAGCCTGTGGCTGTGTCACATGTCCCTGTCTTGGCTGAGACACTGCCCTTAGGGAGCTTAAGTGAAGAGAGCTCTGTTGCTCCTTACAGCAGCACCAGAGTGTTCTGTGTCTCAGAACTAAAAGTTTTAATTTCTAAGAAGTAAATTAACAAGATTTTTTCCTTATGCCTGGGAGTATTTTATAGTCACGGAGAAGACCAGGATTTGTATCTGCCCAAAGCTGCTCATAGTGATTTTACAGTTTCTGGAAAGTGACTTGCGTACATGCTTATGTCGCTTTGTCCCTCCGAGGTATTCTTTTCTTTTTTTTGGTTTTTCTCCGGTGCCGGGAACCGAACTCACGACCTTGCGCTTGCCAGGCAGGCGCTTTTGCCGCTGAGCTAAATCCCCAGCCCCCCGAGGTATTCTTTTCTTTGGGAGTAATTTGTAGCAAAGCTGTTACACCTAGACAACTTGCACGCTGCCCTCCCAATGGCTGCACAAGTTAGAGGGAGGGTCTTCCTTGGTTCGTGGTTTTCGTCCACCCTCTTCGCTCACAGTATCTGCTGAGCCTGCTGTTGGGCGCTTCTGAGCAGGTGCTGGCACTGGACATTCCCAGGTGTGTGCTGGCCCTGGGCCACTGCATGGGCAAATGTGCCTCTCCTCCTTCCTACTGCTGAGGGACAGATCCCACAGAAGTGCACAACCATGCACTCAGGGCTGGATGAACAGAGCTACTACACGTTCTTGTGCGTGTCTGTGGAGTAGGGTTTCACCTCCAATGAGCACAGATGAGCTACTGGGTTGCAGAGTGCACACACATTAGTTTCAGCATCACGGCTGATTCCTAGAGCGATCATGTTGTGCTGCTGACTTCGAATGGAAGCCTGTCACCCACACTTGGTCCTGTCATCTCTGGTCTCAGCCCTTTGTGGTGGACAGGGGCTTGTGTTCTCACATGTATTTCAAATACTGTATGAAAGATCCTTTACCCACTGCTTTATATTGTCCTTGTCAACATCCACATAGCTGGGCTTGTGTGTAGTCTGGCTGTGTGCAGTGGGTATATGCACGAGTACTCATGTGCAGGTATGTGTGTGGCATGGGTGCATGTGTGTGCATGTGTTCATTTCTCTCTGCTCTACCCCTTGGTTTGCTTACCTGCTCTCACGATGTCTCCAGCTTGACCTCTGGTAGCAGCCCAGCCCTGACATGGTTCTGTGTCAGTGTCTATCTTGGCTGTCTTTGTGTTCTTTCCACATTCCATGTACATTTTAAAATTCATGTGTCATTTTTCCCACAACTTGTTGGATTCTGCTGGGTCTGCCGAGCTGCTGAAGGTGAGGTGAGGCCTCCTGGTCTGGCTGCTGTCACAGTCCCCTTGGTTTTCCTGGTGTCTTGGTGACGACTTGGTTGGGTTTGGAGGTTGTGCACTTCTGTGGGATCTGTCTCTCAGTGCTCCCTGCTTTCTGATGCTGTTGTAAGTGACATTCCTTCACAAGTTCATTTTATATTTGTCTGGTGCTGTTATTGTTCATAGTTTTATTCTCTTAAAGTAAGAAGGATCTTCTTTCTGGTTGTTTTGTCAGTAACATCTCACCAAGACGCTTGTCCTGAGCTCTGTATTTACCAGGACCAGAGGCCAAGGCCTGTATATCATGCCGAGTGTTCTCTCTGGTCTGCCTCACTGCTTTGCGTCCTCAAGTCCATCGCCCCCTGGCTATCAGAGACTCTTTCCCGGGTCCTTCAGGTGGTCGCCTGTGAGTGGCATCTGTGTCTGCCTTCTCTGAATGGCTTGAGGCTTGTGACAGGAATCTATTTTTTAGTGCCAGTCTAGCTGTTGAGTAATTCAGATAGAAACAGCACATCACAAATGCTTACATTTTAGAAACTATTCCTGTTCAGAGGTACCTGTGGCCTACGTCAGTCACTGTTGGAAATGTTTTAATTTTTCCTTCCCAGTATTAACTCCACCTGTCATACCTGCAGACATGGGGTGCTGGTCCTGCTGTTCCACTTGGGGGCAGCTGGGCACAGCAGCACTGTGTGCCTGTATGACCGCGGACCCCTCCTTGTCCCCAGGTCACAGAGCTATTGGACGTCTCCATGGAGCTGGGCTGCTTCCTGGCTGGAGCGCTGGTCTCCTCCCAAGGCCACATGGTCACCGAGGAGATCACAGCTTACATTGAGCCCATCCGGGACTTCCTGGCCATCATCTTCTTCGCATCCATAGGTAACTTTCCCTCTCTGCCCTACAGTTGCCTGTATAGCACACTTGCAGATTAGTTCTGTGTTTGTGTGTAGGTCTGTATTTTTCTAGAGTCTGGGAATAATCTTATGTAAAGAGAGGGAAAATAGGCAGAAGACATGAACTCTTGTCAATTGCTTGTGAAGTTGGGCTGCATTAGCCTGGGATGTGCACATCTTTAGACACTAAGGATGACCTAGTGACTGCCAGGTGTCCCAGCCTTGCAGACTGCAGGCCCTCAGTGACTGTTGGTGTTGTCAAGGGGCCGCTCTGGGACGGAGTGAGCTGAAGGTTCAAGTTACACCCAGCCCTCCCACACAAAACGTGGTTGTCTCAAATGCTCCTGCACTTTGCACAGGTGACAGATTCAGCGTGATCTCAGGAAAACAGTGATGAAAGCTGGTTCTGAGGTTTGTGTGGAAATGTGCAGCGGGGGAGTGGGGTGGACAAGAATAGGCTTGGGACCTAGCGCTTCGTTGGAGGTAAGGTGGGACCGTCTGCCCAGCCAGCTTAGTGGCCGGGCGGTTCTTGGGGCAGTCAGCCAAGCGTGGGAAGGCGTGGTGGAGAGGGCCCCTGATGTGCTCGTCTCCCGTCCCTGGGTCCTGGGTCACCTGGGCAGCGAGTGCAGTGTGGAGGCGGGGTGGAGATGGAGCCTGAGTCTTCCTCTGGGCACGTTAGAGCCTTCACGGCAGAGTTTTGTCAGAACCCAGCCTGGCAGGCTGCCCAGCCATTGTGTGCACTGCGTCGCTGGTGTTTGCTGTGGTTGTGGCAGTTGGCTCCACCATTGCAGACTGGCTTCTCCAGTGACAGGTCTTGTTCTTTCCTCTTCCCTGTGTGCTTCTACTGTTCGTAAAGCATATTAACCAGAGGTTTACTGTAAGAACGTGCCTGGCTCCCGCATTCTCTCTCCTCTTGCCAGGCCACTGTCCTGTCCAATTGGGCCCCACTTCTGACCTCATTTTACTTTGGTTACCTCCTAGTGACTCTCACGGGGGCTCTAGCCTGTGAGCTGTAGGGACATGGCTCAGTCTATGGCATGGCACATGGACTGGGGCGGGGCCACCAGAGCCACTCGGCCCGCAGTGCAGTTAACCACCTGGGCCTCGGTGAAGACACTGCACCCACCCTGGCCCCTGCTGGGACTGAACAGGCCAAGAGTGTGAGCTTCCTCTCACAAGTTCCCAAGGAGATCTCACCCTTGCCATGTTCTGCCTCCTCGGGCATTGGCACTTCAGAAGCAGGCACTGTGGTCTCTGGACAGAACGGCAAAGGCCTAAGAGCTGGTTGCCATGTATCTGACAGGCCCTGGCTTTAAGCAGCCCCACTCCCTCACCCCACATCTGCACATTTACCAGGGAGGCAACTGAGGCACCACAGACTAGCAGGTGCACAGTCAGGAAGTGGCAAAGCCAGGGTCTGGTAACCTTGTACTGCACCATGTGTTGTTTGATATTTGTCAGGAGAGTAAATGGCCATAAGCAGGAAGAATTGTGGCTTGTTGCACTGCTGTCGGTGACATGTGGGTACCAAAGTGGCTGTGTGAGTTGAGGTTCACTCACTTCTTTTCTGCTGTATTTCGGCACTGCCCTCTGAGCAGAAGGGCCGCCTTGCTTGGCCAGTGTGTGCTGATAGTGTAAGGACAAGGACAGCAAGCCGTGATGAGCTCACAGCTGTAGGTGGGTGTGGGACAGGCACAGGTGCAGGGGGAAGGCACGCCAGGAGAGCCTATCCGTGGCCAGCCGAGGGCTGAGGGGCATGTAAGTCAAGCAGGAAGCACAGGGTGTTTGGGAATAAGAAAGGCTCCCGGAGAGTACAGTGGAGAGAGAGAAAGACAAGCTTGGAACTCTTCCCCTCTCAGGTCCCCTGCAAGAGGGAACAGTCAGTGAAGGCAGAGAAGCAGCAGGAAGGGCTTGGACCTTTCCTCAGCTCCCCAGCCCTATCTCCTTTAGGGACAGAATTCTGCCTGACTGGGGGTGGGCAGGAAACCAGGAGGCAAAGCCCTGGGCACCCCAGAGTGCAGGCCATACCCAGCCTACACAGGGCTCTGCTCTGGGGAACTTGCCAGGTCTGGCAGGGAGCAGCACAGGCGTCACCACGTACCCCTGCTGCTCCTGAGCGTCCTTCCATCGGCATGGCTGCAAGGATGGGCTGTGACCCTGGAGCTGCTGAAGCCATCTGCTAAGGACAGCTGCAGTAGCTGGAGGGACAGCATCTGGAGGATCACCAGGGCCAGACGGGCAAGGGAGGAGCCTCTGGGCCCGTTGTGAGGCTGGCAGCACCGAGGGCAGGCAGGGAGCCCCAGGGTTCTGGCTGACAATCCTGTTTGAGGGAGCAAGCTCCAAAGATGTGTGTTGAAAAGGGCAGCCACAGCCGACAGTGGGGGTGGCGAGCACCACTTGAGAGCCCCAGGCAGTATGAGAGGGAGGCCTTTGCTCATCTCAGGAAAAGGGAGCTACCTGTCTGTCTGTGTTTCTGACAGAAGTCTGGTTTGTGAGGTGGTGGGTGTGTTCCTGTGCACGGCGGCTCTGGGATGGGTGCATCTGGGAGAGAGAAGGTGTCTGGTACGAGTTTTCCTCCCAGGGCGGGGAGGCCTAAGGTGAGGCTAGAGCTCCCCTGTCAGGGCCACTGTCCCTGTCTGTCCCTCAGGAGCCTGTGGGGAAACCTGGAGCCAGAAAGTGTCTGTGCACAGCGTTTCTGGGTTTTCAGATATGTTGGCCACGTGGAGCAGGACTGACCCCGGTTGTGTGGCTGTGCACATCCTGTGAGTGTTCCTGAGCAATGTTTGGTCAGGGACCACTCCAGGCCTCGCTGCTGCTGCTGCTGCAGGCGGAACCCTCGGAGGGAGTGGGCTGCGTGTCACCCACCCCTCCCGCGTCTGGGAGGGAAGAGTTCTTACCAGGCACTTGGAAGGACTTAGGGTTTGTGGGACCTTGAACTGAGGCCGGCTTCAGGCCCCAGCTGAGGTGACCTGTTGTTCTGTTCCAGGGCTGCACGTGTTCCCCACCTTCGTGATCTACGAGCTCACTGTGCTGGTGATCCTCACGCTGGCAGTGGTGGTCATGAAGGTACCTGCACTTACAGTGATCCTGATGGCTTTTAGGCTCCCACAGCTCAGTGCTGTCCCTGCTGAGCCCTGACCCTGATCCCCAGCTGTGTGCTTCAGCCCTGAAGCCCTGGGTACCATGTTTCTCTGAAGGGCCTGCTGGATGCTGGACATCCCCAACCCTAGCAGAACAGGCCCCCCACTGGCTGCCCTGTGGGTCTTGAGAGACAGGTCTGGCCAGGCTGTGTGGGTTTCTGGTGCATAGCAGGGGGGATGTGAAGTGGGGAGCACCTTTCCGAAGCCCGTCCCTAAACTGTGCTGCGGGGATAGTGCCATAGCTGCCCTGTGACAGGCAGGTACATGTGGGAGCACTGGGACTTGCCAGTGCCTCCCAGGTGTCTGTCCTCGGACCACCAGCAGCTCGGTCCCCAGTTAGTGTTGGCGTGACGGTGCTGTCAGTCTTCTGGATTTTAACAGTCCACTCCAAATGCTGGCTCTGGGGCGGGCCGAGCTGCCCCACCCAGATAGAACATTGCCCTTCCGAACCTTTGATGCCACTGACTTGATTTGAAGGGAAAAAGCCTGTTTTCTGCCAGTGACCCTAGCCCTTTTTAGTCTGTCTTCTTGTTGTGTGTGGCTGTAAGATTGCTTGCATTTACTATGCCTTTAGGTGTTGGAAGGCCCCTGTATTACCTTGGGTTGTCATTGCTCAAGGCGATGGCAGCCCTTGGTGTGTCTCGCAGATTCCGGGCTGCCTGTTTGGTTTGCTGGGGCCTGGGTCTCGCTCAGACACAGCATGATAAACTGCTGTTGCAGTTTGTCTTGGCAGTGCTCGTCTTATCTCTCATCCTGCCCAAGAGCAGCCAGTACATCAAGTGGATTGTCTCCGCCGGGCTGGCCCAGGTCAGCGAGTTCTCCTTTGTGCTAGGAAGCCGGGCACGGAGAGCAGGCATTATCTCTCGGGAGGTGAGTGTGGCAGTCTGATGGGGCATTGCCTCTGGGGAGCAGTCCTGGTGCTTCAGTCCCTGGTCAGGGCTGGGTGCTTGTCATTCCAGCAGCATCGTGGGCACCAGACTGGCCTGGCACCAAAGCATGTGTTGAGTGGGGTACATGACTGGGCCTACTGTTCACATAAAACTTTTCAAATGAAAGTTGTTAATATTGCTTGAACTGATACTATTCTGTTTTACAACAACATGATTAAGTCACTGGTATTTCCTGTGACAAGAAGAAAAATCATGTTTTAAGACCAAGCTGCCAGCTTGCACATTAACATCTAAGAAACCTAACCCTTAGATGTTGGCCATGACCTACAATGCAGCACTGCTCGGCGTGCAGAGTTGAGGTGCTGTCTCTGTGCATCTCGAGGTGTGCGGACGGAGGAGAAGTCTGACCATCTACGCACGCAGAGGAGGGAATTAGGTGCTCTGAGACCTGGCACGAAGATGCCCCATAGCAGGAAGGACCCTGTATGGGTCGGTTTGTGTGCAGTGAGCCCCGAGGGTTTATCTTCAAGAAGCACCCCAAGGCTCATCAGAACTGGCCCCTCAGCTCACCCCATATCAGAATGTCCTCCCACCTGCCACATACTTTATGTGCTTTGAAAAGATGGGTGAAGCCTGGGTGTGGTGGCACACTCCTGTAATTTCAGCATCCCAGGAGCCAAGGCAGGAAGATCCTGAGTTTCAGCCCAACCCAGTCAACTTGGTGACTTAGCAAGACCCTGTCCCAAAATTTAAATAGGGTTGAGGATGTTGTTCAGTATAAAAGCCCTGGGTTCAGTCCTCAGCATGACCATCCTCAGCCTGTACCTAAGCAGATGTGCCCCCAGTTCTCAGCGTGTCCATACTCGGGCTCTGCTGGGCGGGTGTGCCCCTATGCTCACTGCTGTGTTCCCATTTCGCAGGTCTACCTCCTCATTCTGAGCGTGACCACCCTTAGCCTCTTGCTGGCCCCGGTGCTGTGGAGAGCTGCAATAACAAAATGTGTGCCACGACCAGAGCGCCGTTCCAGCCTCTGACAATGTGGAGGGAGGGAGCCCTGTCGTCACACACTCCTGAAGCCTTGGCATGGGGACAGTGACACTAGCAAGGAAGCAATGTCTTCATGTTTGCCTGCTTTTACAGAACACTCCTCTCATGTTTTAGAATTTTCTAGAGTAATTTATTTGCAGTCAGTTGATTACACACAGTAGTCATAATACTGCATTTTAAAAATCGCCTTGACTATTTTGCCTGGATGTGCCTTTTTTTCTGAAATTATTAACTTTTCATTGTTAATTCATCAGTTCATGATTTTTGGTAAAGAAGAAATTTAGCTTTTTAATTTATTGTTCAATTTTAGAATGATAATCTGTAGGTCAAATATTTGTTAGTAAACATATCTGTGCTGTGAGATTTTAATTCTGATGAGTTTTGAAGTTTACTTTAGATCCTTAAAGTCTATGTTTTCTAGTTAAGATGAATATCTTACAGATATCTATTTGCCTCTTATAACTATTTTAAAGAAAATACTTACGTTAATATCAAGTATATCACTCATAAAATACTTGATTTTGAATCACAAGGGTATGGTCATTCCTTAATAAAGACCATTTTTGATCAGGGTATAATTATAATTTGTTGAAAATCTTTTTTTTTGTGAGCTGGGCATGGTGGTGCAAGCCTGTAATCCTAGCACTCAGGAGGCTGAGGCAGGAGGATTGTTGCAAGTTTGAGACCAGCCTAGGTTACAAAGTGAGCTTCAAGGCTAGCCTGCACTGCATAGCAAAACCCTATCTCAAAACACACACACACACCAAAAATCTATTTTTTAATTCAAATTTTCGGTTAGGCTAGTCTGTAAAATTTCAGCCAATTGCATAGCAGGTGGTTCATATGTCACCTCCTGCTTTCCAAGAGACCAAATTCCAAATAAATGCAGTGCTGTTTGAAAGCTTCAGTTTCTGCTGCCATAGAGGTGAAAGTTTGACTCTCCCAAGTATTTCCCTAAGGCCACAGTCTTCTTCTGTTTTGTGGTACTGTACTAACACAGAAGGCCTGAGGCTGGGTAATCTCTGAAGAACAGGAATTCATTTTTCACAATTCTGGAGGCCAGGAGCTCCAGGGTCAAGGCGCTGGTGGTACACCAGGGAGGATTCCACCTCTACTTCCAGGATGGCATCTTGAAAGCTCCATTCTCTGCCCTCACGTGGAGAAGAGCAGTAGGGCAAGGCACCTGTCCTCTGGCCCTTTACTGGCAGCAGGGGGCCCAGAATATAGCTCAGTGGCATAAGTGCCTGCCTGGAAAGCGTGAGGTCATGAGTTTGATTCCCGGCACCAAAAAAAAAAAAAAAAATATTGACTACTGGCAGCAGGGATCCGTCTGTGAGGGCAAGACCATAACCTCACTTCCTGTGAGCCCATGCTAGCACAGCTGGTCAGGGATGGGCTCTTGGCACATGACATTAGGGACACACAAGCATTTTCTTGAGAGCAGATACTTTAATGTTTGGTGTAATTATGTATTGAGAATGTAAGTTGTAGATTGCAGTAATATAAATCAAACCACTTTAAAATGACTTGAAGCATATTGTATATGGTCTAAAGCAGAGTAATGGAGAAAGGATGTGAATTTTTTTTAGAAAATGACAGGGGTCACGTTTCTAAATGACACCAAGCCAGGGGCACCTTTTTGTCCTGGGGACGCCCTGTCTCCATCTGCCGGGCTTCTGGGCCAGTGTCCTTTCCTGTGTCTAGCTCCTGTGGCTGCCAAGGCTCCATAGTCTTGTGGAACTGATTAAAACCTTGGTGTGGGAAGGTAACATTTTCCCTAGATGTCAGTTGGTGCCACTCCAATAGCCACTTGAGGAGAAGCAGTTTAGGAAGAGCTGTGTGGATGAGGGCTCAGTGCCTGGATGAGAGCCTGTGGGACCTTCTGGGCCCAGCATCAGCCCACCTCACAGAGCAGGGCTGTGGGGCCTGGACCCCCAGAACCAGTGTCAGCC